ATTACAATGAGGAAAATAGGTATCTGAATACTCTGCAATTTTGCAAGTTCTCCCACTTAGAAATTATGGAGGGGTCTGAAATTGTCATTGTAGATTAATGTCGACAATAAGAGAGAAAAAACCTTTAAAAAAAAAAAAATCCAGAAAACACAATATAGGATTTTTTTTTTACTATTTATTTGTATGACACAGCTGCAAATAAGTATTTGAACACCCGTTTATCAGCTAGACTTCTGACCCTCAAAGACCTGTTAGTCTGCCTTCAAAATGGCCACCTCTACTCTATTAATTATCCTAAATTAGATGCACCTGTTTGATGTTGTTTTTATCAAACAGCTTGGTAAAAAAAAGAAATGGGAAAAAAAGTCCACTGTTGGAGAAATCATTAGAAAATGGAAGAAGTTAAACATGACTGTCAGTCTGCCTCGGACTGGAGCTCCATCATTGATCTCTATTTATTCACTGGATTGCTGATTGCCCATTGGCCTGCCATTCTGGTACTACCTAGTTATACCTGTCGCAATGTAAACAGTACTTCTATACAGCATCAAACAATTATGGTTTTCTCATTTTCAGGGAGGCTTAAGACTTTTAAAATAAAGATAAATTCATCACTTTGACACACTTGTCGTTTCATAGCATCAGTAGATTACTGTAACTAATAATACACAAAAAATAGGCGCATTGCAAACTCTTTATGAAGTCTATGGAGTCTATAAATCATGTAATATGACATAATATACAAATCCATTACAACAAAGATAATAGGTTAATGGAGCATAATAATACAGATGTAGCATAAGTGAGTCACATCCAGGTTAGGTGTCTCCTCCTCCTGGTGTGGACTAGCTTTCACTGCTGGAGTGCTGTTTAGTGCCTCAAACCTTCCAAAGAAGTTGTTCAGTTAATTTAGGAAGTCAGTGTTTGTTGCATCTATCTGGGGGGGTGTTGTAGTCTGTGATCATCTGAATGCCTTTCCACATCCTCCTGGTGTTGCTGTCATCGTGGAAAAGATCCTGGACCTTCTGGCTGTGGTTTGATCTGATGGCACGGTTTAAGTTGGCCGAGCTGTTCTCAGTACCACTTTATCCCCACTCTTGAAAGCTGAGCTCCGTTCTTTTAGCAATTTCTGAACCTCTCCATCTATCCAGGGTGGTTGGTTGGCCCGGGTGGTGATGTTCTTTTTTATGCTGACGTTATCAATGCATTTGTTGATGTAGGCTGACACAGTCATGGTATACTTATCAATATTTAATGAAAAGTTGACTTGTTCTGTCATTTTTGACTAATTAGAAGAAGCCCACGCTTTTGGATCCACTTATTTAGCCTACTTCATGCTGTCAGACAGGTTCTATTTAAATGATCTATTGGGTTTATGGGTGTTATTACCAATGTTCATGCAAAAATAAACCCAAAACATGAATATTCATAGCAAAGATATGATTTAGCAAGGAGGGTATTCCTGGCTTCACATTGGGCAGGTTAGCTTTGGATAGTTTTTTACTTTTAATGAAAGAATTCATCAATTGAAAACTATATTTTGCTCTGTTGGCTATTTCATCTGAAATTTGGTTGATCTGAAACATTTGAGTTGGAGGGAAAAAGAAAAAAATCTTTGTCATTTTTTAAAAATTATTAACATTTATTTTGTCTATCTTTGTTCCTTTTCAGGCTTTTGCGCTCATGCCCAATGAGCCTTCAGCAAGGTGCATCATTTGGGTGTCGGAGAGAAACAAACTCCATCTCCAACAGCAAAGACTCTTCTTTCACATCATGAAAAATAACATTTTACTGTCTCCGGTAAGTAGGAGAAATAATTAACTAATGAAATCATTAATCGTTTTCTTGTTCTCACATTCTAGGCATCAAAAGTAAAATTTAATCAACACTAATAACAGAGACCAGTTTTAGCTAATAGATTTTCTTAACTGAGCGTTTTGTCTTTCAGCTTGTGTTTTATAAATCTCTCATGGAACCAACGCCTCTTGTAAGTAACTCTGACCTGATTGTTTGGGTGTAGCCTTGTATAATTTATACTTAACCTTCTAGTTTCCCTCTGTCAATAAATTATAAAAAAAAATAAGGGCTTCTACTGATTAATATGGTAGTTAGTAAACATCCCAGCAGGCTGTGATTGATATTAGATGGTATCAATTCTAAAAACTCCAAAAAACTTACAGATCTCTTTTGTTTGCTCCGATTAGGATGAACTTTAATTCCTTTGGGACAGTTGCAAGAACAAACCTCAGCTCTGCAGAGCAGACATGTTTTTTCAGCACTAAACTGGAATTAAGAGCTGGGTCTAGACCAGGAGTGTGCAACCTGCCAACTTTAGTTCAAACCAATAAAGATGGATATTGTAAAGTGTTTCAGTTACTGCACCCCACACTTGAAAGGGGTGGACGCATGACTTTAGTGGGTTAGAGTATAGCTGGATTTACTCAGACAGAACAGTTGAGACTTTTTCCATTCTTTTTATTTCCCCCATTTTGTGGTCAGTCTTAACAACAATCAGGTAAAAACCTTAGGACAGAAAGGAAGGATGGTTAGTTAACACATTATATTCAGGACACACAAACTATAAATGGCATCAGATTAATTGAACCAATCTAATCTCCGTATACATGACAGAGTTTTACAAAATGTACCTAAATATTGCACCTTGCCCAGACATTTAACCATAAATACCATACAATCCAACCCCATAAAGCACAACATAGATACACATTTCCCAAATTATTTACACCAATGTAGCTATTTTCAAATCAAGGAGGACTCCACTCAAATTACATATACTAAATTAAACGCAGCAGCAGTGGGTCCTCAATTTTCTGCCGCTAGTTTGCAGCATGAGTCTCTTACACAAGTTGCAAGAATTATCAGTTGTCTTCCTAGGTGTCATTTATGCCTTCACCAGTGTCAGGCAAAGCACTTCAGGTGTGCACCCCAATAGCCCCCAATTAGCAGGTCAGTGCAACAGATATATTAATACATGCAGCCTTCACCAGCTATTCAGTTTGTTTTCATACAACTGCCTGGAATTTATTCAAAGGAAAGACACTATATAAACTAGTAATATATTTTTAACCTGTATTTTTTATTTTTTTTTGGTCACTTGGTTAGAAACCTCTGCTTTTTTCTTCATCATCTTCCTCAAATATCAGCATCCCATAGGAGCTAATTGACACATCCTATATTTTGCTAATTTTAATTTTTCTTAGTTTCTTAAGCATACTTATCAACATAAAATTAATTAATTAAATATCATAAGTGGCTTTTTTTTCTTTTTTCTTTAGGCAGGTTTTATTTAGATGAACTGAGGACAAAAATGTCTCCCCTGATTGTAAAGATCTTAGTTGAGACTTTTCCCCAAAAGTCAGAAAAATTATCTTCAAGATGAAATTTTCCTGGATATAAATGAATTCACTTCTAGAGTCAAGATTCAAATTTATTGGGTAGATGGCGTTAGTAAACCAAAGAGATTTAATATTCTTTAAATGTTCTTCTTTTTCAAACCACTTAACTCCACATCCTGATTTATTACCTCATTAAAGTTAAATCTGCTTAGTCAGCGTAATAATTGGAGGAAAAACAGAAGTAATATGAATCTCTAACGGTTTTCAATGTTTGCCTGGCCGTTGCTGAAACAGGTCATGAAGGATGATGGAACCGGTATAATCTACATCTGCAACATCTCACATAGCGACGCTGCTGAGCTCAGGGCAGCTTTGAGAAAGATCGGTTCTGTAAGAAACTTCCTGCCTCTGCTCAACAAGGTAGGAAAAAGAAATCTTCAATTCCTTATTCAGACCTATGTGCAGAAGCTGGCCTCATGGACTTTATGTGTTAACAGGTTTTTGTTGAATTCGAGACGGTTTATGATGCAGATCGACTCGGCGTTTGGTACAGCCTCAGGAGACTGGGTTCATGCTACAGGGTTTTTAGGCTGAATGTACCACGAAGCATCAAGAAAGCCCTACGTAAGGACATACAGAGTTACGCAATTCATATTGAATTTTTTTTTGTGTATTTTGCTTTCTTCTAATGGGAAGCCTGTGGAAATAAACAGATTTATGGCTGGAAAAGCATTTGAAAAATCTCCCCGTTAACAAGGATACAAGAGAAAATAACCTGCAAGAGAGTCGACATAAAACTGGAAAAGGCTTCAAAGTGTTTTGTCGCATTAGTTAGAACATAATCCATGAAGGATGAATTTGTCAAAATCATTTATTGATTACCAACTCAAAGGCGAAACATTAAAGGCAAGCATGCATTCTTAGATAAAGCTGCACATGTTCATACAGACTCCAGATTCCTGACATGATCAACAAGGTTTCAAAATTTAAGCTGGCATAGTAGCTGTATAAGGAGCTTATTATATTGGCAAACCTCTGTGTGTCATACATGGATGAGTATAAAGCAAAGAAAGTTTAACAAAATTTGAATGCGTTTGATTAAAAACCCACAAAAGAAGCAGTCAGAGAAAATGACGAGGCTCTTCGGAGTTGTTGTAGTTCTTTTTGCAAAAAAGGATCGTTAGGCCGACAAAAACAGGATATTTACCTACCCATTTCTTTGTAGTGAAGCTATTGTTCAATAAGTGCCGCAACCAGACTCAATGACCGCCTTGTTCCTGTTTTAGCAGCTCAATCATCCTGACTGACATATGGAGGAAGTAAAACACAAGGATTCCTTAGGACTGTTAGAAGGGGCTTACATGTCTGAAGAAAAACATATTTGCACATTAAACCTGACTGTTCTGATATTTCATCACTCTTATAATGAAAAGTAACCAAATGCCTCCAATGTTTTTGTTTCTTTAGCACCAAAACTGCCACTGAAAGCTTTACCGGACAGCAGGGAGATCTTGACAGGGGTAGAAATACCAAATGCAAAGAGCGGCATTCCTCAGGGAACCACTGCGCCATTTTGGGTCACCATGACGACTGTGCCCTATGTGTTTCCAACCGTGTGTCCTTGGTTTAACATCCCCAGTAAGAAAAGAGAAGATGCAGACATACCAGGCTCTCTGCTGGTGACTTTATCTGATTGTTTTTTGTTTCTATTCTCAGATTTTCTGACAGTAAAAGGAGAAGAGGACATTTTGGTGAGGCCCCCTTTTCCTTTATAATAGATATAAATCTGTTAATGTGGTATTTGTGCAAAAAAAATCCATCTGTGACAAAGACGAATTAACTTTATGGGGGAAATGGATTCAACTATCAACAAGCCTTTCTTCTGAGATTTCTCTGTCCTTTATGTCCCATAGATGACCCCCCATCCTGGCTCTGAGTTCTTCACTGTCATGCTGACTGGTTTACCAGAAACATGCTACAAACACGAAGACATTGCAAAGCTGGTTTGGCCTTATTTCCCCATACAGAACCTTCAGACTCTCTACTACAACATCTTGGTCCTACCATTGCAGAGGAGGGTAAGGAGCTGTTCTTGTAGACCAGATCCAAAACTAATGCACTTTATGCACACATGTCAGACCCTAATGGTTGTTGAGGTCGTATACCACAAACTTTGATCTAAATTGGCGTGAAAGAAAATGCTGCATGTGTGTCTCAAACTAATTTCTGCTGACAAGTCCTTTTTTGTCTCTTTTAGATGAGGACTCAGGTTATTGTACTGGTTAAAAACCAATTAAACCTCCCAACTGATTGAACTAACTAAATGTTGCTTTTATCAATCCTTGCTTTACATGCTGCAACTTCTGCTAGCATTATTCCCACAGTGCAGAGAGACACCTTAAAGATGTTTCAAAACATTAAAAGCAGGAGGCAGATGGGCCAAATAAACTTGCCAGTAATGCAGTGTTTGCTTTTTATTACACGACTGTCAAAGCAGGGCAGGTTTATGTCCATAGCTTTATGCTATGCTGTTCATATTAAGCATATTTTAAGTGTCGGAGGCAGCCATTTTACATGCAAGGTCTAGGTAGTCTGGTAGACATGCATCAAGGGGGCTAAAGAAGTCCCGCAATGAGTTTTCTCCTTCTGGGACTGTGCATCTTGAGGAGTGTTGAGCATCAGGTTCAGCGCATTTTGGGTTTACAAGCATTGAATAGGTAGCCTGACGTAGTCCTACTCAATTCTAGACAGAATATGAGTCTGATACTGCTCCATAGAGCTGTGATTATGGGGCGTGTTTTGAACGAACCAGGAAAAAAAATGCCTCTGCACTCAATTGGATAGACCTACAACCAATAAGAGCAACGGAGTGCGTGACGTATGTTAAGCGAGGCATAGTTGTTGTCAACAAAAATCAAAGCGTGCAGTTGCACGCCTAGAATAAGAAGATGAGCCTTGATCGCGTTTCTCTGTTCCTCTTTTAAAATTAATTTGCTGTCGATATCTTCTAGAACAGACCTAATAGCAGAATCTACTCACCTAAACTCTCCAGCGGCAGCCATTGTTTTTGTCACCCAAGCGCGCTTTGGTCACGTGGTTGATTACGTTACTGTTGATCATCTGTCCATCATCATATAAAGCCTGCCCTGAAAATTTGATTGGCCCGCCAGATATTGTGCGAGCATACTCGCGCTACTACTGAGCAATGCCAGACCGAACTTCCCGACCTCAAACGTTGTGGGCGGGACTAAGTTCGGAATGGCACCCAGGCTATTGATTAGGATCAGTAACACTGAAAGCGTCAGGTGTTGGAGTTGGAAAATCTAAAGTTACTTGATGCCGATGTCAGAGAGACGGTCACTGCATCCAAGGCGCGATCTCTGCTACTGCAGAGCTGTCAGCATAAAACCATTCAAAATAAACACAAATAAGTCAGATCAGCCTGAATACACCACTAAAAATGGATGGATATGTTTGACCTTTATTGTGAGAATAAAAGCAAGTATTCTTTCTGCTTCTTTTTACCGTTAGGCCTTTGTGTTTTTCCCCAACTGGAAGGCATGTCGCAGTTTTGTCCAGGATTGTGTCAAAAAACCGGTCTCAGTCAAGAACCGTCCTCTCAGCGTCCACTTGGTGTTAGAGGACATGCATCCTCCATCCAGTGAGGTACGGAGGATCATCTCTGGCCTTGAACTTCTGCAGTCATTTTGTTAACATTAGATTTAACTTTCTGTGCTGTTCGGTTGTACAGGAAATGATGTACACAACTCTGATGAAATGGAGCAATGGTGTAAGTATTTTATTTTTTTTTAATATACCATCGGTTGATTTAAAAGTATGTGCTTTAACAACTCCTGGTTTTGTGTTTTCAGTATGCTCCATGCCCTAAGATGCTGGAGATGCGGCTGCTGTGCTTGGAGATTTATGAAACTCGCGTGGATCTCATTAAGAGTGTCATAAAAGAAGTAGCCGGCATGGCCAGTTTTGCCAGCTTCCTGCCGCTCTCCAACAGGGTACAACAACACAATACATGCATTCCTTTCATTGAGAGGATCATTGTTTTAGAGCTTTATATTTAACTAAAGCACCAAGATAAATCCACTTTTAATTGCTTTTCAAACTAAATGTTTTTTACTATTGTGATTTATCAGTCAAGTTGAAATAGGCAGACTTTTTAGAATGTTTGCTGATTAAAAAGTGACGTTTTTAACAAGCAGCAAGAGGATAATTTGAATCCAATCAAGCAAAACGAATTGTTATCATACTGGTGAATTATTGCTGTTTAGGTAACGGTATGCAGGGTGAAACACTTAGTAGTGAAGAACGCAAAGACATGCAATTACCCAGGTTTCTGTTACAATTGTTTGGTTTATAACAAAAAAAATGCTAAGTTTAGCATGATTGTACTCAGAAAATGAAAAAGAATAATGCATGATTTAAATTTCTTCTGTTAGATATGCATTGAGTTGGCTCCACCCAGCAGCATCGCATCGGTTCTGGAAAAGATTAAGATGAGAAAGGAATCATCCAAGAATTTTTGGTAGGTTTGTCAGTAAACTAAGGATTTGAAATCAACAATAATGAGCAAATATATTTCTAGGAACTGAATTGTGGTGCAAGGAAATGGGTCTGGATATTTCTACAGCAGCTTTTGGGACGTTTCCGTTCTGCTAAAAATAGCTGAGGAAGTTGACGCTAGTTTTGTTAAAAGACCTGTTTCACATTTTACGGCACATAGAGCTTTATTGCATCAAACATATCAGGTGGCCCAAGCTCACATCTCATCGTTTATGGTTATATATATATATATATATATATATATATATATATATATATATACACACTTATAGCTGCTTTTTCCCATTTTTTCCCCCATTCATTTCTGCATTTACATCTCCCATTAATTTAAGCTGCTTATTTGTTTTCCATCTCTTTAACCTATCTATTGATATCAGCTTTTTCCTATTTACCTGCCAATCAGGGTGTAAATTAGGTGATCCTAAATAAAAATGGAAGAAACAAAAGGTGGGAATCAGAACTAGTCCACTGAGCAATGAAAGAAGTTGATTCAGTCTATCAGTATCTTCATTTTACATCAGATTTATGGGTGAATCCATGTGACTACACCTGGTTGGTACAGAAAAGCGCCAACACTAGGTAGGGAATATTAACGAATGCTAGCTTGTGGTACAATTATTTATTATTTAATATTATTATTTTGAATTCAATTCAGTTCTGTTTATTTACATAGCACCAATTCACAATAAATGTCATTTTAAGGCACTTTACAGAGACAATTCAACCACATCATGCAGTCAGATTGGTTCAAAGTTTTCCATCTAAGGAAATCGACTCATTGACTTGTTAGTTATGATAATATTTATGTTGTAAAACATAAAAGACTCCACTTAACTATCATTATAGGAATAGCCTTAGTTACGGTGTACAGAAATGTTTTAAGTTGCTACTAATGGAAAAGAGCCACTAGAATCTACTGGGAGCTAAATGGTAACATCCTGATGTCAGATATGACAGGCTAGGTCTGGGCAAGAAAACATAAATAAAAAAAATGAATTTAACTTTTATTCATCTCATAATGGAGAAATGAACTCTGCATTAAACCGTCCCCTTGGGGAGCGGTGGGCTGCCACTGTGCAGCGCAGGGTGAGCAATGTAGGGTTAAAGGTCTTGCTCAGAGAGTCAGAGTGGCAGTCTGTGGGGGTGGGTTTTGAACTCACAACCTCAGTATTCCAAGCCCTTTGCCCTAACCAGCTGGCCGCCACTTCCCACATTACCCATATCAAATAAATAGAAAATGCATTTTATGGAATCATCTATAATATCAGTGAACTCTAATTGAGACCCATGGCATTCTGGGAGATGTAGGCAGAGGGAAAGACTTAGCCGCTCACCCCTGCAAGGCCAAGCTGGTAGTAGGGTTCACCTCATCTTAAAGGTTATGTTTTTCTAAGGTTTGAAGTACAATTTAAGTTCCTCCTTTTCCCCTGGTTCTTATATTTTAAAATACCTGATCATTGATTGTTTGTATGAAAAAAATAAAGCATAGGAATACTTTTATCTGGGGGAAACAGAAATGGTAATCGTGGATGTAAACCACCTCTATGTTTTACTTCGACAGGTGCAAGGTTGGACGTGTTGAGTGGTAAGTATGGTCATAATTGAATGTGCTTGTGAAGAAAAAGACATTTGCAATGATGCCAGTGAGAAATCTGGCTTTTAAAAACATTTAATTTTCTTTTTGCTGAAAGTTTTTTTTTTTCCCTTTTAAAGAAAATCTTAATAGACACAAAGATTCTATAATACTTTGTTTTGTGGGCCTACTGTATGCAAACATAATTTTTTTATATTTTAGTGTGATTGATCTCAAGAAGCGTCTGAGCGAGGCTAGTGAGATCAAGATAAACCTTGAAACGGACGCATCAGGACTCAACACTGAACCTCCAGCCTTGGAAACAGAAAAACATCTGATGCCATGTGAGGAGGATGGTGCTTCTGCTGCCCCAGCAGCCATCACTGAATCTGCAATGCCTGAAACTAAATCAGAACTCAGCAACAAACTACCTGAACCTCCCAAAGCTGAAATCGCCTCAACATCAGAAGAAAGTCAGCCCTGTGAGAACAGTCTCATTGTAGCAGGTAAGTCTGTCTCATATCTAACGGTTTGGTGACGCTTTGAGAATTGAGGTTGTTTATGTAGTTTAATGAGGTTGTTTGCCAGATCCCAGAATAAATACTTTCTCGGGAGTAAAAGGAAGAAAGCATTAATTTTATTTCATAAAAAATGAAGTTGATGTCAAATCTAGATGAGAAATTTAGCAGGAAAAGGTATAACAATAATACTGTTCAGAAGGTCATGAATGCATCGAAGTAAGCAGAGGGATTAGGTTTAGATATCCTAGTTTGAGTCTTTTTTTTTTCACTTTTGTTGTCGTTTCTCCTCCAGATATCACCTTATTGTTATGAGAGATTTAGTTTCTCAGGGACACGCTGAAGCCATGATTAAAACAGTTTTCCACCCCAGCAGGGTCAGGGTGTCTTGATTCAGAAGAAAAATCTGGGTTTCTCTCAGTTTAGCTGTGGATCTCTGACGATCCTGTTGTTGTTTTAAGTCCAGTCAAGAATAAAGAAAAGGAATGTGTTTAGTTTTATCCAAACAAATATTAGCATTTGCTGCTACTACAATGTTAACAAGTCTTTAAATAAACATCACGAAAGGCTATTAAAAGAAACACAAAGATGTAATCAGTTTTCTGCAACAACAGTTAAAAAGTTTTTGTTTTCCTTTTTTTAAGTTCCTGATAAGAAGAGCCAAACCAGTCCAGAGTCAGGATCTGTCAGCAGTGTTTCAGTAGAGTCCGCTGAGGCCTCTTCATCTGTCAGAACTGAGGCAACAGCTCAGGAACTGGTCCAAAAGGAGGCGGATGGTTTAGACTTCTGTCTGACTCCTGGAGAGAGGATAGGAAGCCTGCTGCATCCTCAGAAAATCTGTATGAAATCTTTACAATATTTTTAAATATCTGGCCTTTATATCTATTGCATGAATCCTGACTGTGGTTTCATTGTTTTTTTTACAGGCTGTTTTCCCCATCATGTCATCATGTCTCCAAAAGTAAGTTGTTCAGCCTCCTGAGCTGTAGTTTGAGGGCCTGATCTTTAGAGAATCACATATATTAATGGTAGTGTGTTTGCCTTCATGAATATGCAGAACATATGCTGATAATCAGATCATGCAAAATACCGGGAGGAGGATATGCAAAAAAAAAAAACAAAAAAAAAAACTCACCTCTAGCGTAATACAGGTAGTTACAGGATTTATATAGTAGGAATAATTTAGTCATCCTGCTGGCAAAAGTGTCTGTGTTAATTGGTGGCTGGAGGCATTGGTGCAATGACACTCAGAGCTTTCCAACCCAAGCTAATCTTAACTTTTCTTTTATCAGATTTTTTCATTTCAGACAAGACTTTTACTGATAACCAACCTGCCACAGTACCAGGATGGCTGCTACACTGAGAGCGGCATCAGCAATCTGCTTTGCAAATTTGGGTTTCAATATGAGGAGAAAAACATGTATGTGATTCCTCAGGCCCGCATGGTAAGCAGTAGTATGAACCTTAGAGGGATCGTTCAATAGACTGATTATTTCCATCTTAAATGTTCATTTGTTTTTGTTGTCATTTTTTTCCCCCCAGGCTTTTGTTCTTATGCCCTGTTATCGTAAAGCAAGAGAAGCCTTTTTGGCTGCAAAAGATGGCTTGAGTCTCAATGGATCTAAGCTTGGTGTGGAGATCATCAGCAACGGGATTATTATGATACCTGTAAGTGGGCTCAAAAAGACTGAATTCGATTTTATCATTATTTATAGGTTATCACAAATCAATAAGAACTGCAATAAAAATTGTGTTCGCTTTTTAAAAGGGATTCATTATTGAAATAAGTTCAAATAAGTTTTGTTTTGCATCAGGGTATAAAGATTTCTTATATTTCATTTCCATTTCACTGAATTTAAAGAAATCACAATTGGATCCTCTGATGTTTTTCCAATAATATTGGCAATTTATTCAGCAGTTGTAGTAGTATAAGTAGTATACAGTTCGGTGTAAAAAAAAAAAGTGTGATGAAATTTGAAAGGGGATTGCAGTCAAATTTAAAATAGTCCAAATGTCATCTCAAAGCAATAAGCAAGAAAAAAAAACAACTAACCAAATAAAAAATTTCTACACATACATTTTTTAATACTAAAGCAACTAATTCTAAATAAATGTTGACTAATATGGTTTTGAGGCTTCTTCTCTTAACATCCCGGAAACTTAAATCATGTCTGACCGTTTCTACATCCAAGGAATAGCAGTATAATCAAAGCTGATTAAAGTTAAAATTAACTTTTTTTTGCTGGTTGGTACACTGCTGTTAAATTTCAATGTGGGAATAATTCTCTGTTACGCATGCGTATTAGAGCAATGCAGGGCGGATTGTAGGATCAGAGGTTTAGGGCTGCTGATCATCCAGGGAGCTGTCTGGACGGGCAGCACATCTTATCTGAGACTTTCTTATTTTTTCTTTCTGTGTTTTTGTCTGCTTGGACGCGCTGCACCGAAACTTACCTGGCTTTTCCTGACCTAAAACCTTGCTCCTCTCCTTCCCCTTGAACACCTCTCCCTCTTTGGACTTGCAATCCTAAAATGGATTGTATTTAAAATGTGATTGACAGTTTAGACACACTCCACACCATAAAGAAAAGGGTAAATTCACTACAGTAATTCTAATAACAGGAATCGTACAAAATTATGATTTGATAAATTGAAATATTGATTTTGATTATGTGATATTAAAAAAAACAGTCCCAGAATGCTCATGAACATTTCACCAACAAACATCAACAGGAGTACAAATCTGATTGCAATACCTGATTGCATTGATTCCCTCAGCATTTTAATTTAGGATCTCTATCATGCAGGTTTACCTGTGTTTTTTTTTTTTTTTTTTTTTGTTATTAATATTTCTGTTGAACCAAAATTAATGGCACTATTTTTATTGATTTCTTTTTGCCATTTCTCTGGCAGATGATTTATTTCCATCTTTAATGGGAGAGTATATATAATTTTAGTATTTTTTTTATCCAAGTTCTGTATAGTTTTTAGACCCTCTATTTACTATGTTTTTTTTTTACTTTTTTCAATTTAAAAGGGCAAACAGTATAAAAAAAAAAATATATAATCAAACATATTTAATTGGTGCTATGATTCACTTTAAGGGTGCTTCAGCAAACCCAAAAATGGTCTAAAAACGCTTATGGAGCAATGTATGCCGATCTGACAGAGTATGCTGTTCTGACAGAACTCTAGCAGTGCTGGAAATCCCCACTGAAAGCTCTCTAAGAGGCCAGTCTGTGGCTGGAAGTGAATATAATGCATTTCTAAGGTTTGTGGTAAATACTACAAGTACCAGAATATAAAATCAAAAATTTTTATCAGCAATATTTAACATTTCTAGTAAATGTAGGTATTGCTTCATCATTACACTGCTTCATTTTAGTTCATTAAAAAAAGTGTTGTGAATATTTCAGAGCTCGCTCTCATTCCCTTATACATTACAATCCACTCTCCTGACTTTTTTTTTTTTAAACCTTTGGAGTTCAACTTTATATATATTATTTTTCATATGCTGACAGCTCTGCAGAAGTGATCACAGCTTGCATTTAGTGTCTATCTCCTCAAAAAAACTGCTGGATCAGCTTTTCTGATTAGTTGATGCTTTGTCAAGCTGCAAAAGTATAGTTTTTTTTAACTCCAGCGTCGCATGGCTTCGGCATTCAGATGCAGACATTTTCGGTGCTGCTAATCAGAATTTTACCAAGTGAGGAACAAATGGCTGTTCTGTTACTCTGTAAAATAAAATATTAGGCAGTGAGCTCCTGCTAACCATGGGGACTTTATTCTCTTCTCCTTTTCAGTTCGGATTTTATAAATCCCTGATGTTAACAATCAACAATGTAAGTAACTCCACCTTTACATCTGGCATAAATTAGGTTTCTAGATTAAATATGTTTACATTATAAATATGGTTACTGAAAAGTTCATTTCTTAATTATTCTCTTCAATCATCCCTGTTTGTTTAAAAATGGTAAATATGATCAAATATTAAACTAAATGTGTTTGTTTTGCGCAGCCAGTGCAAAACGATGGGAGCAGTACGATCTACATCCACAACATCACAATGAAGGAGACCAGGGAGCTCAGAGAAACACTAAGGAAAATGGACTCTGTTAAAAACTTCCTTCCTCTGCTCAACAAGGTAGAAACAAAAGCTTCTATGAGCGCATTTGTCATTTTGAGCGTAAAATTCTTTTGGTTTGACTCTGTTTTCGGTTTCAGGTGTTTATTGAGTTCAAGTCTGCTCTTGATGCTGATTTGTTCGGAATTCGGTTCAGCCTTCTAAAGAATCGCCCGCCACATAACATCTACAGGATGAAACTTTCCAAAACATCATCATCACGTAAGGCTGATGTTTAAATACAGTTATATTTACAGTATTACTGTAAGATTCATCATTAAAAAAAATACTTCTCAACTACTTTTAACTACTGGTATATTACTGATATATATAAATAATATTATATATAAATGAAATATTCAAAGTATCAAACCTACTAAAATACAGACGGTACCTCCAACAACTATAGAAATAAAAGAACTGATAAAAAAAAATAGATCCAATAAAATCTAGATGTGCTCTCTTCGTCCTCTGGCATGGGAGCTGGCTCGGAGCTCATCTGCCTTTTACAGCTACTTTTTTTGTCTCTACTTCTGTCTCCTTGAACCCCAGTCGGGCTCGGCAGATGACAGGTTCTGTTTGAGGTTTCTTCCTGTTAAAAGGGAGTTTTTCCTCTCCACTGTCGCTACAAGCATGCTTAGTGTGAGGGATTGCATCCGAGTCAATGAGTCGATGCAATCAACTGGTTTTCCACAGATAGAAAATTTTGAATGAATCTGACTGGATGATCTGGTTGAACTGTAAAGTGCCTTGAGATGACATGTGTTGTGAATTGGCGCTATAGAAATAAAATGAATTAAACTGAATTAAGGCAGGCACCATAAAACATTAGTGGACTACAAAGGTTAAAATAATAAACAAAGACATTAAAATAGACAAGTGTTGGATATACATGTGAACAGAACCGGTTTGTTTTTAACCACAGTTTGACTGTTTTCTTGAATGTCAGATAGTTCTCACAGTTTCTAATATGAGCTGCTAGTTTGCTGCTTGACTGTGTGAATAGAATATAATAATAGCAATAAAAGCAACAACATTCAACTCTGCATTCGTTAGGGAGAAGTGGGCTGCCATTTTGCGGCGTCCAGGGGAGTGGGGCTTGAACTCTAAGCCTCTGGGAACCAAGCGGAATGCCCTCAGCACTAGGCTGCCACTCCCCCTGTGCATCTGATGGACACCCACCTTTTGGCTAAATGTGCAGGAATCAGCGTTTGAAATCAAAGGGGCTAATTTCATTTAGCATTTTTCACAGTTTTTATGGCACTAGTGGCTCGTTTTTTTCGACAGTAGCCTGACAGGAAATGGGGTATGAGAGAGGGAGAGACATGCGGGAAAGGACCACAGGCCAGATTTGAACCCCAGTCACCCGCGTCGAGTCAGAATCAGAATCAAGTTTATTGGCAAGTAGGTTTGCACTTACAAGGAATTTGACTTGGTGTTGTTGGTGCAGACAAAAAACAAAACAAAATAACAAAATAAGATAGAATATATATATATATATATATATACACACACAGAAGCTATATACAAACAGTAGACTGTGCGTTAATGTAACGCAGAAATCCTGAATGGGGGAGAGAAACATTGTCCAGTGTCACGGGCGGGTCTTGGCCTTGTTGATAAGGCCGATAGCAGATGGGAAAAAACTGTTTTTGTGACGGGAGGTTCTGGTCCTGATGGACCGCAGCCTCCTGCCAGAGGGAAGTGTCTGAAATAATCAGTGACTGGGGTGCGAGGGATCAGCCACAATCTTCCCTGCACGCCTCAAAGTCCTGGAGGCGTGCAGCTCCTGGAGAGATGGGAGGTTGCAGCCAATCACCTTCTCTGCAGACCGGATGACACGCTGCAATCTGCTCTTCTACTGAGACCTCCGTACATGGGTCGTGTGCGCCAACCACTGCACCACCTGCACGCCCCATTTAGCACAAACGTATGCTAGCAGCAGGCACGAAGGAGAACAAATGCTCAGAATTCACTCATTTTGACAGTTATTTGCTGCATTAAAGCTGCTGAACTGATTAAGAAACTATGTCTAACTCCTACAGACCTGAAATAAAGAGCTGATTAAGCCCCGTCTTTCATTACAAGCTCTTATTGCTGCAAGCCAACAAGCTAATGGGAGCTAGCGTTCTTCTTTGTTCCGACTGCTGAATATAGAGCTCCCCCTACAGGTTTACTGAGGGACAGTTGGGCTCTGTAGTCCGAAAAATAAAAACGTGACAGTTCTAAAAAAGCCAGATAGCTGTTGAAATCTATAATAGTTTGCCTTATTGTTTTCTTTTATGCATTTACTTATTTTCAGTTTGAAATATGTGTTCATTAGTGCTTCTTATCCAAATTTAAAAATTGCTGATCCATCACACCAGTTCTGCTCTCCACTCACTTATATAAAGTTGAATTGAGTGACATGCTTCAATCTTTGCTGTGACTCAACTGAAACCCTGTTTTAATGAAATTGATGCTTTAACTGTTAGAGGCGCCACTTCTTAAAGGAATAGTACACCCAAAACATGATTAGCCTTCATTTTCTACTCACCCCCATGCTGAACAACACTCTGGAGTACTTTTTTGATATCTCAAATGCATCTGGAGATCTGGGAGGCTTCTTGCTGTCTGCTGACATTCAAATAATGGAGGTACCCAGCGCCCAAGGCAGAAAGGTCCATAAAAGTCCACAAAAAACGTGTCAATATTCCTCCATACTGCTCGTCCAATGTATTCCAAGTGTCCTGAGTGGGTAGCATCCAGAATTTACTCGAAACAAAGTCATTTAGAATGTTTTTAGAGCTTTAACAGTAGTGTATAGGATTTCCTGAAAGCGCGCGCCCGCACGTTCACGACGCTACGGGAGCCGGCAGACCAAACCAGATGAAAGTGCGCATTCAGCGTCTGCTCTGCCCATAATGCAAGCGTAGAAGAAGAAATGTGCTGTTTACCTGTGCAAACAAAGAAACAACAAAAGAAAAATGTCTGAGGACTTCAGTGTTGAGGAAGAGCATGAGTTCTTTGCCGAGCTGAATGCGCACTTTCATCCGGTTTGGTCTGCCGCGGTTTCCGTAGACTCGTGAACGCGCTTTTAGGAAATCCTATACACTACTGTTTATGCTCTAAAAACATTCTAAATGACTTCGTTTCGAGTAAATTCTGGATGCTACCCACTCAGGACACTTGGAATACATTGGACGAGCAGTATGGAGGAATATTGACACGTTTTTTGTGGACTTTTATGGACCTTTCTGCCTCGGGCACAATAGACCTCCATTATTTGAATGTCAGCAGACAGCAAGAAGCCTCCCAGATCTCCAGATGCATTTGAGATATCAAAAAAGTACTCCAGAGTGTTGTTCAGCATGGGGGTGAGTAGAAAATGAAGGCTAATCATGTTTTGGGTGTACTATTCCTTTAAGTCTGCTGACTTGGTTATACAAGCTAAACCAAAAGGTGACTGAGAATAAAAGTATGAGGTTCTGGAGGTTTTAATAGGATTTTAGTGTCTTTTTTCTTCATATATTCAGATATATTTGAAATAAATTGTTGCTTTAGCTTGTTTTTCTATACACAGCACCACGGCTAGCTATACCAGACCTCAGAGATTTGGTTGTTGGACCAGTCCTCCCTCTGACTGATGATGGCGTTCCAGAGGGCAGCACGGCGCCATTTTTTATCACCATGGCAACTGCTCCCTTTCTCTTCCCCACAACGTTTCTTTGCTACATCATTCCAAGTAAGAGAAACATTTGGAAACCAAACAATATTACAAATGGAGCTGGAGACGTAACCTGACATTGTGTGCCTGTCTGCTAGAATTTAGGACGATCAGTACGGAGGAGGACCTGTCGGTAAGAGGATTTACATGTTTTGTTTTTAATTTAAAGGGTAAATGTACCGGGATTTAATTTAAATATGTTTCACATACGTTTGAGTTCAATAAAATTTTGTTTTCAACTTTTCGTCATGTAGACATCGGAGTCAGTGGCCTCAAAGTTCTCCACTGTTATGTTGACGGGTTTACCTGAAGCCAACTTCAAACACCAGGATGTCGCTAAGCTGGTGTGGGAATATCTTCCTCAGCAGGATCTTCAGACTCTGTTCTACAGCATCGTGGTTCTACCTCTGCAAAGAAGGGTAAATGACTCATGGTGCATAAACTGAGATATTCTCCAGTTTAACTGTTTCATGACTGTGTTGAATTTTTTTTTTTCCACTTCAAGGCTTTTGTGTTCTTCAACCACTGGCAGTCATGCCAAGGTTTTGTCAAAGATTTCATGAAAAAGCAATTTTCCCTGAGAGGAAGCAAGCTGCACATCCACCTGGTCTTAGAGGACATGCATCCTGGATCCAGTGAGGTATGGTGATCTTAGAAGTTGGGAACTCAGGGTTTATGGTTTTTTTTCAATGAAATTAATAGTTTCATCCTGGGATTGTATCATTTTTATGTGATTGTTTTTAATGAAAAAGTTGTTGCTACAACCTTAACTCTATCAGTAGCAATCTAAGAAGGCTAACTAGACTAGCAACCAAAGTCAATTAGAACAGTTTATAAAGATAACCAAAGGGCTCCCCATCATTTTGTAGCAGAAAGAGGTGATTCCCTCACACCCCCCTGCAGAAATGTATTAGAAATAAAGCATTTCATTACATGTTATATCTATCCCAAATTCCATGCATATAATTATCTTAAATGTAAAATGGTTTTAGGATGCAGGGTGTTCAATATTATATGATGATTACAATCATTTTGTTGGTTGTTGTTTTTTGCAGGACACAATGTACCAGACTCTGATGAAATGGAGCAATGCTGTAAGTTAAAGTTCACTCTGTGCATATTTTAAATTGTTTGAATGCCTGATTTCTTTAAATAAAGTAACTTTTTTTTTTTTAAAGCACGTCCCAGAGCTCCAGTGTCTGCAGGAGCGGCTGGTGTGTGTTGAGCTCTCTGAGACCTCTGTAGACCTCATCAACTGCATCCTAAAAGCAGTGGCCAACATCTCTCCCATTGTCAACTTCCTGTCACTTGCTAACAGGGTAGGACAGCAGAAACAAGAGACAGCTCCTACAAAGCATGCAATTTAATTCTAGGGCCAAAAACATATGTTAAAAAAAAAATATCATAATCTTTTTTTTGTATTTATTTGTTTCAGTTATGCATCGAGATGGCTGAATCTAGTGGAGTAAACCTGGTGGTTTCAAGGCTACCAGATGCAGCTAAAGCCTGGTATGTTGTTCTCTTTAATATTTAATCTCTGAAAGGAAATTAGTTATTTACAATATTCATCAACTTACTGATCTTTTCTTTTACCACAATATAGGAATAATGTTCCACGTGTTGAATCGTGAGTATTGATAAAAATTTGCTTCAAAAATGACATCCTTAAAAGTCTTAATATTTGAACTGTTAAACTCTATACTTCATATTTATGCCTTTTAATGAAAATATAACACTTTTCTGAGCTTGAAGCCTTAGTGTATTAATAAGGGTAGAATTTATACCCTACTTCTTCCCTTACTGAAACAAAACTGAGTGTTTATTTACCTAAACAAAAAGTGTTTTATTCTGTTTTTATGTAATCTGTGTCTTCTTTTAATTTCAGTGTGAGTAGCCTAAAACAGCGTCTGAAAGACTGTGGCGGGACTAAACTAGGTCTTGATCTGGACACCAAAGACATCAATGCTAAAACTTCAGCTACAAAGAGTGGACCGTCTCCTAATGCTCCTATTGAAAAACAAACCCTACCTACTGTTCAAGGAGATCTGATGACTGAGAATTTGGCTACAAATGGATCTGGATCAGAGGAAAAGATCAAAAACTCTGAGCCCAATGTTCAGAGGGACATTTCACCAAACAGTCTGGATTCCTGTGGGAAAGATGGAGGATCAACAGTGGTTGAAAGAGAGACGACTGAAAGTAGAAATGAGAAATGTCCTGAGAAGAACCAACAGGTTCCAAATGTTTATGTTGAGAATGTAGCTGAATCCAAAGGAGGAGAAACTGCAGATGAAAAACCCACAGAGAGTCCGATACCAAGCGGCACAGTTCAGACTGAGGCATCTAAACCTCCAAATGATCCACATCATAGCCCAGAGACCAACTCAGAAACCCAGCAGAGCTCTGTGGAAGAAGCTCCTGCACAGGTCCAGAGCAGCATGAAGCTGAAGCCAGAAGATCTGAAGACCAAAACCAACATTTCAGCAAACTCTGGTATTTCTGGCTGCAGGCTGCTGTTTCATTCCCAGAATGTTATTCTGGAGCTAAAGAGAGAACATTACTTTTATTTCATTTGAATTAGTTTTATGGGAAATGGTCTTAATCATCTGTTTAATGTTATTTTTCTTTAGATCTTATGGAGAATCAGAAGAAACCAGCATCTTCTGCAGAGATTGAAGCGAAGATGAAATCCTCAGCAGTAGAGAGAGAATCAGAGCCCACTGCTGCAGCCCCTTCAAATGAAGCGTCTGCTCTGACTCCTGGAGAGAAGATGCAGCAGTTTTTGAAACCATCTGTGCTCCGTATGAAATAACTGCATATAAAGATCAGAAATACATGCATCAGCCGCCATATTTCTTTGCCTTCTTATTGATTTTTGGTTTTCCTCTCAGGTCAGTTTGATATCAAGACCATCTTGTCCCCTGCGGTAAGTTTGTCACTGAGGATTTATAAACTCTTATTTCTTCTGTGAAAGTTGATTTTAAAACAAACTTTTAGATTTAAATTTTGAAAGATCTGGATTTAAAGGTGTTCTAGTTTAATGCTATAAAAGACATTTAGATAGGATTCTTTTTATTTTTAATGGTAATATTTTGTAATATGAGAAATAACACTTGCAATAAGGCAGGTTCTTATTAACAAAATTCTAAAGACAAGCATAATATAACAATTTGCAAATTTAAACTGATACACTGGTGTGAGGAAAATTCCAAAAAAGTAAAAAAACAATCCTCTGGACTTTGTTTCCAAGTTTAAAGACGTTTTGCTTCCCATCTAGGAATCTTTTTCAAATCAAAAAGTCAGAATTGGTGTTGAGTTCAAAGCTTTATATAGTAGGCCAGAAATAATGATAATAATAACGTGAGGGAAATAATTTCCCAGGCAGAGACCAATAAATAGAGACGCCTTTTTTCTAGAGAAACCAGGACGGGTAAAAATATTAGAAAATAACCTCTTTTGGAAGTAGTAGTTTCTGACTATTCATTTTTATACAGTTTTAAAGTAAATAGATTTTAAATATAAATGCAGAACCGTCGCCTCCTTGAAGATTGAGACAATAAGGTTGAAGTGTAGAGATCAAACCAGTAGATCTGGAATAAAAGTTGTTAGAAATCTGTGGTGGTGGGAATTTAAAACTTTGGATATTTTTCCAGTTTTAGATTAGAGATAGTGTTGCTTAAAGGTTTTGTGGAGGATTTTCCGAATTAAAAAAAAATAAAAATGTGCGTGCGAGAACATGCACGAGCCCATTTCTCCTCGTGCACGCTCTGTTTAGAGGTTGCTTTTCTCATAGCTCGTACATTCTTATTGTCCCCAAACATCCACCCTAACCCCAAAATCCCTCCATCACTATATAGAGCAGGGACTATATGGTGGACTTTATACTGAACTCAGTTAACTGAGCGTTCGAACAGGTGATCACTGCTTTTTGCTCCCCGCTGGTCATTTTACTCCTCCTCCACTGTGAGGTGCCTGTGCCATCTGTATTATTATTGGCCGCCGTCGGGTAGCGGCAGCCTATGGCGAGTGACAGCAAATCCCATAATGATTTGTGAGGAGAGCTTTCCGCACAAAGCATTCTGGGATATTTCTGCCTCCTCTGAGGCCTTTCTTTTCTACTCATACACTTCATAGACACTTTTTCTCTTATGACCCTCGGCCATTTTCAAAGAACGGCGGAGAGAAAGGTGAGCTTCAATGACTGGCTTAAACCGTAGCTCACAACACATATGAGGCTGAAAGTGCGCAGAAAACGATAGCTAACGGGACGAGCACGTACGACGGCGTTACGTAAACATATCACCAGAAGGATCGCAGGTGACCTCACCCACCCCGCCCGCAATGTCTTCACCCTGCTGCACTACTTGCACCATTCACACTACTGTTTGCATATTTAAATATTTTTATATCTTAGGTTTTTATTTCTATTTTTATTTTTATGCTATGGTTAATTATATTTTATATTTTATTATGCACCGTGGGGTTGAGAGGACTGAAATTTCCTCTGTGTTGTATGTTTACCATGTAGCACATTTGACAATAAAGTTGAGTTGAGTTGAGAATCATTGACAATTAGGAAGACCACATATTTAGATGATCCACCCAGAAATGAAAAATCATCCTCTATACCTTTAAGTCGTTATCTGTGAAACTTACAGGCTTTTATCACTAATATAGGCTTTTAAAATAAGCTCTAAAATGAAGTCCCAGTGGTCACAAATGTCAAGATTTTATGTCTAGTCTCTAGAACTTATAGTTTAGCAGCATTTTGGAAAATAAATTCAAGAGTTTTAATCTTTTTTAATTTGTGTATTTTTGTTTTGTCCATTTTCCTCTTCTGTGAGTGGTTATTCTTGTAGATAATTCTTTCCACTATGTTTCATTTTTTCGCCTAAATTATGCTGATTTCTATCTTTTCCTTGTAATAAGTGTTGTTCATTTGTGGCCTAGTGATTAATGCAGCTGCTAAATGACCTCATAGTTGAGACAGATTTCCTCTTCCGGTGGAAGCAGTGATAATCAATCAATCACATATCCTGCTCAGGTTCAGCCTGGGTCTGCTTTTCCCCCCATATTCTTCACTTTTTCTTGTTCTTTTTTAATCTTTTAAACATGACTTTCCTGCACCAACATCTCAGCAGAGATAATTGTTCTTATTTGTTCTAAACTTTCCCATTATGTATCATCTGCAGTTCTTGTCTTTCAAAATTATCCTTGCGATAAGTCGCCTTCCACCGTACCACAACGAGTGTTACACCGAAGCAGACGTCATCAGTCTGCTTAAGGGGTTTGGAATCAGTTGTAAAAGAGATCAACTCTTCATCGTTCCTCAGTCGCAAATGGTCAGTAGAAAACTCCAGTTTTTTTTATTAGTTGCACCTAAGGTCCTGCTTCAGGTTCGAAGATGTTTTGTTGTAGATTATTGAAGAAATTGAGCTTATTTTTTTGTTTTTAGGCTTTTTTCATCTCCCCAAATGTGAAAGAGGTGCAACATTTCTTCCAAGTGTTGCCGTGGACAAACATCGTCTTCAAAGGGTCCAAACTTTTTTTCCACGTCATCAGAGGCCTTGCCTCAATGAGTTTGGCAAGTTTCTCTGAAGCTCTGTTTTCCTATTGGCATCGCTTTAAGAATAGATTGATTATTCCTGACAGAGAAGATCATTGGTGTCATTTAATGAGCATTTTTAGCACCAAAAAAAAATCACATTTTAATTCAAGTTTGTCTTGTTTTCTTTTTCCAGTTTAAGTTTTATGGATTTCTGATGTCCTTCGCTCACCCTGTAAGTATTTAGCTTTTTAACTGACTTATTACATTCTTTTTTCTTTTCATTTATTCACATTGATGCAAGGTAGCTATTTTGTTTTTTTGGCTATTTAATCCAGAAAATAATTTAATCTGTGAGCATTTCTTATGATCAACCAGCAAAAACAGCAGATGACGTACGACACAAGAAATATCGTTTTTTTTAACAACATGTCGCCGAGCAAAGCCAAAGGTCTGCCAGAAGCTTTGAAAAGAGTTGTGCGAGTGAGAAATTACCTACCACTGCTCTCCAAGGTAACGACGCACACACTGGCAGCCCTGAAGACGAGGATGTCCAAGCTTTGTCATAACTTTGTGTTTTATTCCAGGCTTTTGTTCATTGTGAAAACGCTTCGGATGCCAATCGACTGGCAGTTTGGTACATGTCCTGGAAAGGTCCCAGTTCTCCTAATGGTCAGCAGACAAAGAAAAATGAAATGTTGAATTCTCCGAAAGGTGAGTTAGGCTCCTTATACACCAGATAAGCTCATTCCAACTCCTGTGCTTCTGCTTCTCTTCCTTCTTGGATGCTTTTTTTAACTCTCAAACTGTAAATATTTATCCAAACTTATGAAAAAGTTTAATTAAAAACAACGTAAAATATCTGGGTGTTAATTTCAATAATAAACTGGACTGAACCAACCGGTGAGAAAGGCCGTTTCTGTCCAGGGCTGCCCTCTGGACTCAATGGAGGAAGTGAGGCTGAGAGGTGGGGTCTGTCCAAGCTTACATCCACCATGGATGACACCTTCCACTCTCTGCACCAGTCTGTAAAAGGAGTTGAGCAGCTCTTTTACACCGAAATCCCACATCCTCCGTGACCGCGCCGTTCTGCTTCAGACTGCCTGCGCAAAGCCTAAAGCCTCCGCGGTTATTCCTGTGTTGCTCGTTCCGACTTCCTTGGAGCTCCAAAAGGGCATGCGCTATATTGTTTTTAAAATAAAATGGAGCAACACATGCGAAAATAAATGCGGAATTTAAAATCCCCATCAGCTTCCAGCTTATGTGCACTTTCTGCCCAAATATTTTCTTTTTGTTGTGTATTTTTGTTACAGTGATAACTAGATCAAATTTGGCTTGTATGAATGTTTTGTCTCTACTTCCAAACTCAGCATCTCTTCATTCATGCTGACTGCAATAAAAACTTTCTTTTCAAGATGTGAGAGACGTTCTTCGAAGCTGTTGTGACTGGTTTTGAAGAAACTTTCAAGCCTCTCAGTTTGCAGTCAATCATTAAATTAAACAGTCATAGTTTTTGGGAATGTATAAGAATTATGCTCTAATTTGTAGTTACGAATCCATCGTTAATATATTTTAATTTGAGAAACGGGATCTTCTCGCCGTTCTTTTTCCTGTTTGCTGCGATTGCAATTGCGGATCTTGACCTGGCCGGCTCGGCTCCGTATTTTGACGGTGACTGAGGGAGAAGAAGTACGTAGACGGTGGATGTGTTCTCAATGATTAACATGATGTACGTGGGTGGGGTTGAGGATGTGGAATCTGGGGGTTTGCCAAAGATGTGTACAACCGGTTTATAAAAAGGAGCGCTGCTCCACTTATCCGGAATAACCTTCCAGAAAACTATAAAATTGCTGAAACCCTAAATTGCTTTTTAATCTTTCTTACAGCGGTCTTTCATTTTGCTGTGGAAAAATTCATTTCTCATCAATCTTTCTTTTATTTTATTATTCATTTAATGTATTGATTTCTTATAATGCAATGTATAGATATCGTTGTTTTTCTCTTATGTTTCTTTTTCTAAAGTCTTGCTACTGAAATGTGCTTTACAATTAAACTTGCTGTGCCTCATTGAAAAACATGTAGACTGAAAGTTCACAATCAACATTTTCTGAGCCCCCCCCTGTTTGCAGCTGTAGCTGTAGACGTATATCTACATTTACATCTTGTGTTTGTGCAGAGCCGACTCCAGCAGCAGTGGCAGCTTCGCCTCTCAGGGAGGACATCTCAACCGGAGCCAGCGTCCAGAGGAAAGACCCATTGCCCATTCCAGAGGGAAGCGAGGGCCCTTTCTGGAATACCACAAAAACAAGTCCTTACGTGCTTCAAACTGCATCTCCTTATTTCAACATCCCAGGTAAAACAAGCACAACATTTCATTTCTAAGTGAGGTTCAGGTGTTAAACTGTCAGTTATCTTGTCGATCTGATGCATTTAGTTGTTTGAGTCCTGATCAGGGTCTTAGACAGTTCCTGGACTAGAAAAGGAGCAATAGATTAAATGCTAGTCCGTTATTAAATAACAAGTTTCCCTTTGAAACTGTTGTCTGAGATTCACATATCCAGTGCAAATACAGCTCAAATACAAAATAAACCCTAAACCTTCTTATCTTCTGTCTAAAAATGGCTCCCGAAGTGGCCACCAGAAGATCTTAATGTAACTGGAGGAGACCAATTCTGAGTGTATGGTTAAAAAAATATTTTTTAGCAATTTAGTCAAGAGATCCTAAACATCAAACTAGCTGCAGGTTTTATTCAAAGGCCCGAAAACCTGCTAATAATTATTTGAATGTACAATTGAAGTAAAACGGTGCAAATTTTTAGAATGCAGATGAATGTATGAAGTAAATAGGTACCGTAGTATAACAATGCATTTGTTATTAAATAAAGATGATTTGTAACCAATAAATCTGATCATTTATGCTGGAGGAAGAGATTCTGAAACATGGAAACAGCAACTTGCACAGAGACCTAGAAATGCAAACAGTTTAGTTTATTTGTTTATTTCTCACTGTAGCAGGGAACATTTATTTTAGTTTCACTTCCAGACCTTCTATTTCACTGCTTGCTAAGCGGCTGTGGGGAGATCTTTAAGCCACATGGTAAAAAATCTGTCAGAAAAGATCTCCTACTGTACCTTTAATTCGCTGGAATAATTGAAATGTTGACAATATCAGTGTTTTAAATACCTTTGATCTCACTCTGATAATGTTCTCTCCCTTTCTAAAGACTTTTAATGAAACTCTTTATTTTAGTTTTCTGTGTTTTCTCTACTTGTTACAGAACTACGAAAGAGAATGACCTCTGCCTTGTTATTTCAGTTCATATTAGCTGTAAATCATGTTGATATGAAGAGTAAACTGGCTTTGTTTTCACCCCTAGCTTATCAGACCGTCAATAAGAAGACGTATATGGAGGTATGTAGGGTTTTTTTTTCTTCCTATTATAAGCAAAATTCTACTCTTCTATTTACTATGCAATAAATTGGCTATTTTTGTAAAAAAAAAAAAAAAGTCTTGTAACTTGAAAATCTTATTTCCTTAGACTATAAGCCTCTACTTTTTTCCCCACACTTTGAACCATGCAGCCTATACCAAGTTGCAGCTTTATTGTGGATTTTTCCTAACACCAGGGGGTGGAAATCGATGTTTGAAAACAAAGAAAGGGCTAATTTCAGTTAGCACAAGGATATGCTATAGCAACAGGCACAGCAGAAAATAAATGTCCCAAATTCACACATCTTACATTTATTTGCCACATGAAAGCTGTTGAATCAATGAGGAGACACTGTGCAACTCCTGCAGAGATGAAAAAGGTTTGGTGGGAGACAGTTCAGTAGATATCAGCGCTTGTAGTCCGATGTTCTTTACATATGTACTTTTCCAAGTTTTAAAGAAAACTTGTGTGGCTTATAGTGAGGTGCGCTCTATAGTACCAAAAATACGGTCAAAAATATTTTCTTTTTGTTTTTTATCTTCAAGCCTGTACCAATTTTCAGTACATAAAAAATTAACATTTTTATTCCTGTAGATTTCTAAGCAACATTTGAAGTTCCCCATCATCATGTTGACGGGGTTTCCAAATAAAACCTACACACAAGAGGATGTGGCTTTGCTGGTGTGGAAGTATTTCCCTGAACAGAACCTTCACACTCTCTACAACAATGTTGTGGTTTTACCACTCCAGAGAAGGGTATGGAGCTGCAGCAATGTTTTCCCCATTTTTTTCCCAGGTTTAAAAAAAAAATGCTTCAATGCGTCCTGATTCTTCAAATCTTTTTTATTTTGCAGGCTTTTGTGTTTTTCAGCAGCAGCGACGATTGCCAAAGATTTCTTCGAGATCAGAACACAAATCCAGTTTATTTAAAAGACTTTATTCCTAAGATTCATTTAGTCTTGGAGGATATTCACCTTGGATCCAGTGAGGTGAGGGATTTACATTGAACTTGTGGCTGTTTTCCATCAGTAACTGCTATTACTACCTGGATATAGGATGGGTCGTCATGGTAATCAAGGATTGCTTCAGGATGTTGCATTAACTCGAGCCTAAACATTCCCTTAGATGTGAAAAGATGTGCTTGCACTGTTGTAGACAATAAAATATATGTACTGTCTACTTACGGTTAGTGATTGATTTAAACGGCTGATCAGACTAAAAGAAAGAAGTCATGTAATCAAAAAGAAGAACTGTACGCTACGTTGTTGTGGGAACAACATGCGTACTCGGGTCAGCCTCCCACATAGAGAAAAACTTCCTCCCAAATACAATCAGAATATTCTAACTTAGATGTTTACGTGAGACATTGTTAGTCCCATCAGCAGTTTATTCTTGTCACTTTTGTCCATGTTGCATTATTTTGTTTTTAACAACATAAGACCATTTGTTCATGCTCTTATGTTGCATTTTAGGCTCCTATTTCTATTATTTTAAAGTTCGTAATTGTATATAAAATGCAGTGAACGTTAAAAACTGAATGCTGTTGTTCCAGGTGTCCATGTTTAGGACTCTGATGCAATGGAGCAATATTGTGAGTCACATTTCACTTTTTTCCCTGTTATCTATGCATTATTTTCCTTTTTTGAATTAAAACCAAATTCCTTGTTGTTTTCCAGCTTGTTCCAGATCTGAAGTCTTTGGAGGAGCGGCTGCTCTGTGTGGAGGTTTCAGGGACAAACCAGGAGATTGCAATGATGGTGATGAAGAAAGTGGCGACATTGGCTAGTTTTGCCAGCTTCCTGCCGCTCGCCAACAGGGTACGATAAATAGCAGAAATGAGCTCAAATTAAAATATTAAGTAAAATATCTTATTTTATATGTAGTTATTGTACATTTCACTTTTGGACAATCAATAGTTTTGACTGAGAGCGGTACTCATGGTGTGCAAAAAAAGGCCAATAACCAAATGAAAAGCTTTACAGTGCATTCAGTGGAGGTTTACGTTATAATTTCTTTCTTTTCTCACTCATTTGTTTGCTGCACCCTCTACTGTTGATCTAACAGATTTACATCGAGATGGCAGAGTCCAGCGGAGTATTAAAGGTGATGCAAAACTTATCCGTGTGCAAAATGTCTGAGCAGCATGAAGCTTGGTAGGTTTGGGAACTTCATTCATAACAGTCGGCCATTAGATAAAAATGAAAGATTGTCATTTTTCTAAGAATGTGTCTTTGTCTTTCTTCTTTTCCCCCTAATGTTTCAGGAGGCAGGTTGGACGCATTGAACGGTGAGAATTTCTTTCATGGTCAAACTTTTCAGCCATTGTGTCTCTAGGATTAAACTTTTTTACTGGATGATCTAAAAATAGTGAATATTTTCCCTGATATTTGTTTTTATTATAGTTTATTAAGTCGAAAGGAGCGTCTGAAGGAGTGTCAGAAGACTGCAGTGAACCTTGAGCGTGACGCCATCAGTGTCTCTACAGAGGCCGCATCGCTGAGAGCTCCATCAGAGTCGCCTCAGCTGGCGTGCAGACGGATGGAAGAGGAAGCAGCAGCCAGTGCTGATCTTCCAAACCCAAGTTTGCTTCCATCAGATAAAGAACCAGAAAGTCCTCAGTTTGACTTGGCTTCTTTGAATAAACTAAAAACCATCATTCTTCAATTCAAACATCAACGAGAGAGCTCCACTCTGAGCAAGCAGGTGATTTTATTCTATATTTATTTTTACTATATATGTATATATTTTACAAAAAAAGGGGAGATAAACCCTGTACTCTGCAACCTGTGGCTCCTAGTTTACCACGGTGCAATTAACTTAATAAAGCCCCTGTCACACCTTCATGATTTATCCAGCCTGACATCCCATAATCTTCTAAAACGCTCGCATACACTGAACTTTTCATGTATTTCTTCCAATTTTGGGTGTATAGATAGATTATTCATAACAAGTCCAGAACTTTTGTCCTGCAACAGCCTAACTTATGCATAACGCATGGCAGCCTAAATCACATGAAATGATGCTCAAGCAAGTGTCCTGAGGGACGCAGTAATGCGCCTCGAGGAGTCGGCCTACATAAAAATATTTATTTGATTGTTGTATTAACTTAGCTGCTGTTTACCGCCCGCTAAAAGAAAAATTAAATGTAAAGAAAAATAATGTTTGCAGTCGCAGCAGATTCAGCGTCATGTCTGCTAGGAAGTTTGTTGGTCATGGCCATGGACGCAGGGAGGATCCATCACACTCACCTTCTTGCTCACCCCACAAACTGGAACTGGAGTCCAATTGATGAGATCATGCTGATGTTGGAGGACAGCAAATATGTATTCCCGTGTCAGCCTTGCCGGATCCTTCATCTCTTGTCTGCTCACCATGAAGTCTGGAGGAGTACTCACGGTTTCCTCCTGTAGACCCCCTTTTATACCAAAACGCTGCAATACGCCACTAAATGGTAGCGGTACTTCAAAAAAAAGTCTGGAACACGTCAAATTCATTGATATGCGTTGGAGAAAAGCTTTTGATAAGTTACACATATGTTATGCACAAGTTACTGATAGGTTTTAGATAAGATAGATACAACGACTTATGAGTAACTTACACTTAACAAATGTCAACAATCAGATAACTTACCTGTAACGTATGGCCCATGTATGGCTTCCCCTGGCATACTTCGGAAAATTATATCATGCTCTGAATTTCTCGACGTACTTGCCGCATGTCAACGTGTGCCAGCGTGCTCATAATTTGTAGAAAACGTACCTATAACTTCAATCAATTCAATTCAATTTACTGTTATATTTGCAAAGGATTATACATTTTTATGGGTTTGAAGATTTGTTGAATTTACAATTTCTTTATTTTCTTTATAAAGACATTTTACCATTAAAACAAATCTAAAACTTTCATTCAAAAACCAACGAAAATGTCTTTTTTAGTTAGATATTAAACATATTTCTATAAGATTCATTCTTTTAAAAAAACGGCGAAGAGGGTAAAATTTACTTTTTGCAATGTAAAGGCCGCTCACCACTAGATATGTTGGAGCATATTTAAGCAATAATATTTTTTATATTGGAGGTTAACTCTAAGTTCCTGATCTTTCTCATATATTTCTCTAGATTTCCACTGAAGAAAGAAGCGACTCTGAAAGCTCCTCCTCCTCTGAGCAGACCAACAAAGAAATGAAGAATTCACATTCATCATCTTTAAGAGGAGATAACCCAGAGTATAGTAAAAACTGCAAGACCTCCAACTCATTTTCTCTGTCAGCAAACAGCAGCTCCTCATCTTCTTCAAAACCCGCTAAACCTTTGGCATCCTCAGGTGAGAAAGATCAATCAGAAGAGAGGGATTCCTCACAGAGAACAACCTCAAACCTCAAAGGTCAACATACCGGTTTAAATGCATCATCTGCAAAGACTTATCTGTCGGTTCATAATGAGGCGGACCTTACTGTGCCTGCAGTACCAAAGCCTAACCAACAGGTGTGATCAGAGAGCTGCACTGTAAAAAATCTGACAGGAAAAAAAAACGGACACTTCCAGACACAGTTAAGTCTAAAAATCTCAAACTAATCTGTCCTTTTGTGTAGATTGCAGTAAAGATTTCCCCTAATCTTGGTCAAAATGTATTAAATCTTTGAAGTTATAGACAACAGTGAGCATCCGCTTAAAAAAATATTCAAACAGTGTCTTCAGTCAGAGGCTTGTCCAGATGTGGTGCATGACAGACCACTACAGAAGATCCTTCCTGCCTACAGCTATTAACACCTAAAACACCTGGGCTCAATCCCAAACTGACCCCTAAACCCCTACCCTTCGTTTGCGCATCACAAGCGGAGGGTCTGCCAAATTAAGTGCCATCCCAAATCCCCTAGTGGGTAGAGTGAGTGGACCGTTCAGCCCTTAAATAGCAAGTGCATCAGAATTTGGCAGCAGGTGTAACAGCAGCCTGGTGGGAGAGGAAACACGTTCCGCCAAATGTAAATCGTGCTGGTTGGCTGCATCTTTGTCACACTGACAGAAAATCATAAGTTAGTACATGAAAAAAAAAATGTAAGTAATTCCAAAATGGAAGGTCCTCTTTGAAATGGTTGTATTTGACCGTATACATTTGTTTTAAGAAAGGGGCAAATGTTTAATGTTGCGTTAACCTACGCCACAGAGCTACAGCCACACACGGGGCACCACTGTGTTGCCATAGCAACGGCTGCTTCCCTTTACCGTTGGAGGGAAGAAGATGTCTCTTTCTAGTTTATACCCCTCCCCTCTTCAAACAAACCTCCTTCCACAGCAGCAGTGAGAGTTCACTGGGAGTGACACTTAATAGTTAAGGCAGTTTTTCAAGGCACCCTGCTCTGCATGTTTTGGATGTTTCTGTGCTTCAGCACACCTGATTCAGATGATTGCAGTTCTGCAAAGCCTGATAATCTGCTATCAACTGATAACAGGTGTGTGAAAGCTGGGAAACATACAACATGCAGGGCAGGGTGCCTTGAGGACCAGGGTTAAGGGTTAGTGCCTAGGGGGCGGTTTGGGATTCAGTCCTGGATAAATAATTAACCTATAAGTCACTGCAACTTTTAATTACCTGTTAAAAACCTTATTAAAATAATGTGTTTTGGTGTTTCAATTGAACTGAAAAAGCTCAGGAGGAAGATTTGGACAAATTGAGCTGAGAACATCAAGTTTTTTCTTGTTTGAGAAAATAAACGTTAGCTGTGTTGGAAAATAAACAAGCTGATGCTAGCTCTGTGTTGCAGATATAGTAATTTACAGGAAGCTGGAGAAGCAGCAGAAACATCTCTTCATGTCCTTAAACATTTGGAATATTTTTAGATGTTTTTATAGCACTTTGTAGCCTTATTAAATGTTAAAGAAAAACAAAAATGTATTTCCTTCAAGCCTGTGTAAAGGAAAGTTAAGTAACTTACCTATAATGCAAAAGAAAACGGACAATAATTTCCTGCAGCTGTGAGTTAAAGGAAGCTGGAAGAGCAGCGGCTGTATTGTTTTGGTCATTAGAAACCCTCCTGAGTTAGATTATAACTGCTGGGATGAAGAGAGTTGGCTTTTTAAAAACAAATAAATTTTAGCTTTTAAGGGACATCTCGATCTGATATTGATATCTCAGGAAATTAATACAAATATGCTATTTTTAACATCTAAACTATTGGAAAGCAGGTAAAAACTCTTTTGCCTCGTTTAAAGTTTATGAAATTCTCCTCTTCTTGCGAAATGTTCTCATCCCTAATCTATAGTTATTGCGCATGGTACCAAATAATGATTGCACATTAGTTATTCCACAAGTTATTGCAGTTCAAGTAAAGTGATGGCAGCAGGGATAAATGACCTGCGGTAGCACTCCTTTTTGTAAACCGGGTTTAAAAGTCTTTCACTAAAGGAGCTGCTCAGCTGCTCTTTGAATAAAAGCAGTAAATTTGTTCAGGTAGGAGCTTTACACAAGTAAGAGAGATTTGCTCATAAGCAAGATAACAGTCTGTCTCTTTAATGAGGTAAGAGCAGGACAGAAACAAATCATCAGCAATAATAATCGGAAATATCCACCTTCTGTTTTCATATAAGCTAGCTCTGCGTCATTAACAGTTAGATGTCCTAACCTTTAGCAGCCAACAGATAGTAGTTAGTTGTCAATGTTAGTATGCATATTTTTAAATTTTTTTTACAATGTCGGTAAATATTCAAATTTGAGGTAATATTTGAGATTATGCACGCAGGTGTTGCAGATAGCTATTGGTATTAAAGTTTTAATCATGAAGTTTATTTGTGGAAATGTTCCTTTATATTAGAATTAATTCTACTTTTTTCTTACCTACCTAACAGCTTCTTCCTCTTCAGGTCGACTGACTCGTTCATCATCATCATCATCAGCTGCTAAGACGTCTGTAGAAACTAAGAAGTCACAGGAAAAGGAACCAAAACCCACAGACACCTGGAAGGGGACAGAGGTCAGAGGTCAGCACAGCTGAAACCCCAAATTCAAGACTGGAAAAAGAGGCGGTGGTCTGTGAGGACGCTGTTAAAGACCAATCTGATGCAAAAGGACCTTTTATACCAACGACCACGTCCGCCAAACGAGATCAGACCAATGAGGACAAAACGGCGTCTAATACAACAGCTGCCGCCGTGAGAACTACGAGACAAAAAAGAAAAATAACTGAGAGAGACTCTTTAGTTGAAAGAAAAGATGAGACTCCAACAAAGAAGAAAACTATCTGAGGAGGATTATTTTAAACAGAACGCAGAGAAAACAGAAGAAACTAAAGACGTCAAACCAGTCAGACGTGACAAGAAACCACATTAGCACCTTTTTTGCCTTCAGGACAATCTTACCTTTGCACACAGATTTTCTTTTACCGTTCTTGAAAAAACATTTCATTCATAAGCGGAAAATGGTTTTCTATGTATATTTTATGTGTATAATTAAGGCAGTGATGTACAAATTCATGGTTTCTCTGGGTTTTTTTTATTTTTTCTCCAGCATGCGAAATCATTTTTATCTTTTTTCATTTCTTCTGTCAGTTTTATTGGAACCAGAGTCTTTCTTTTAGATTAAAATATACCTTTAAAAAAAAAAAAAAAAAAAAACTTATATTTTTTGTGTTTTTAAAAAGCTAACCCTGAAGCACACGGCTATATAAACACTAGACAGTTGGGAAAATGCTGGGAAACAATTTTGCTCTGCATTATACATCAGCTTCCCTACATGTGATGTCACTTATAATGAACTAGTTGTTAAATTGCTAAAGATTGTTAAAATACTACTCTTTTTTTTTTTTTTTTTTGTGACCTAGCCTCTAAAAGTTAACTAAACATTATCAAATGTAATTATCCTTTAACCTCATTGTTTTGAACATGTTTCAGTTAGTTTTTCACAGCTCATAAATTTCTTTGAAATGCAGCCAATCAAGGTCACATGAGTTCTGTATTTTTAGGTCAGTTTGTTCTTTATCTTATAAAAACATGCAGGCAACTGGAAGTGCTGTTTGTCTCGTTTGATAATTAAACAAAAAAATCCTCTAACCATGCATTGCAGTTGGATCATAGCATTTCTTCGTTTTGCAGACTTGATCTTTAACTTAAAAGGAACATTTTTTGTACATTTTTGTTCTTTGTTTATTAGTCAAGATGGAAAACATATCCAGTTACAGACACCAAGGGCAGCCTGACATTTTGGTCTGTTTCCAGAAATGAGTTACAGTTAGGGCAACTCACATCTGTTTGGAGCAAATATATTGTTCAGTGTACTAGATCATAAGTAGTGCAAATTTTAAATGATATCTGTAGTAATTGTTATGTCCCAAAATCAGGTAAAATTTTTTTATTGCATCAGCAAAAGTACAGCTAATAAACGAAAAGAAAAACTCCTTTCTTTTACCACATTGCTGTAAAATATTTTTAAATATATACATATTTTTTTATGTGGCTGAGACTTTTAAGGATCTTTTATCTGCTCCTCTTGACTTTTTGTTGGGAATGGTAGAAACATACATCTTAGACTCTTGCAGGAAGAAGGTGTGTGAAACTAGTTCTTTAATTCATGAGGAAAAGTTCTCAGAGTCATCCAAAAAAATGGGGAAAACATCTCCAAGTATTAACAGAATTTATTCCATTCAAGTTTAACAAAATCACTGCTAAAAGCACAAAAGCAAGAATCATTCAAACCTGTGTGACAATCTGCTCAGAAATAACCATGTTTCCCTGCTACTTATACTAAAGCAACGCCCTGTCAGCCTATAGTCATCATGCATCTTGCTTATCTATGATTAAAGGAAAGCTTACTCAACATTCAGCTCCCCTCAAAGTCTACAGGTGACCTACAGTTAATATTTAACCACATTGTTTCTAAACCAGAGGACATCTAATATAAAACAACAGTATTCAGTTAACATTAAACTTCATCTATTTCTAACAGGATTCCGTCCCTATAGCAACATTTAGGGGCCACATATGTTCAAGAAAATCAATTTAAAGGTAGAATTGGTTAATCTCAATTAGGACTTTAGATCAGTGAAACAAATGGAGGTTTTGTGCTGTAGGCCTCTGTCCTCTCCCTGTTTTGGTTTCGTCTAGTTTCAAATGCGTGCCATCATAATGTAGCAGGATGAAGTCTGCCCCAGAAGTGAGGACCACCAGCACCTGATTACCTCAATGGGTGTGAGTATAAAGGCAGAATCTCTCACCTGCTTTCTTCATGCCTGCATTTGGTTGCACTTCAGTGGGAAGGTTGCTTGGTTAACTTGCAGTGGTTGAAATTCTAAAATTAGGAAATACATTTAGTTGGTTAATTCAAATTGTTTAAATGAAGAGGCTGCCTGAATTCTCCTGTTTACGGAAGCCCTGAAAGGCAAGAGAGAAAAAAAATTTGGAAAAGAACTTTGAAGTAATTAGTTTTTTCTTGTATTATTTTTTGCCCTGAAAGGCAAGAGAGAGAAAAAAAAAATCTGGAAAAGAAAGTTTTAAGTTTTTTTTTTGTTTGTTTGTTTTTATTTTTTGCCCTGAAAGGCAAGAGAAAACAAATAAATCTGGAAAAGAAGTTTGAAGTAATTTTTTTTTCTTGTATTATTTTTTGCCCATAAAGGCAGAGAAAAAAAAATAAAAAACGTTTTATTTTTTTGTTTTGTTTTTTAAAATTATTTTTTGCCCTGAAAGGCAAGAGAGAAAAAATAATCTGGAAAAGAAAGTTTTAAGTTTTTTTTTTTTTTCTTGTATTATTTTTTACCCTGAAAGGCAAGAGAGAGAAAAATAATCTGGAAAAAAAAAAGTTTTAAGTTTTTATTATTTTTTGCCCTGAAAGGCAAGAGAGGAAAAAAAATCAGGAAAATAAGTTTGAAGTATTTTTTTTTTTTTTTTGTATTATTTTTTTGCCCATAAAGGCAGAGAAAAAAAATCTGGAAAAGAAAGTTTTTTTTTTTTTTTTTCTTTTTTTTTTTTTGCCCGTAAAGGCAGAGAAAAAAAATATGGAAAAGAAAGTTTTAGGTCATTTTCTTTTATTATTTTTTGCCCTGAAAGGCAAGTAAAAAAAAAAAAAAAACACTAGTAAACCTGCAGATTGAGAGCGAAGTGCTTTGTTAGGAACATAAGGAACAATCAGATCTCTGATATCAGATGGAGCTTGGCCATTTAAGGCTTTATATGTGAGAATGAGGATTTTAAATTCTATTCTAGATTTAACAGGAAGCCAATGAAGAGAAGCCAGGATAGGAGAGATATGATCTCTCTTTTTAATTTTCATCAGAACTCTGGCTGCAGCATTTTGGATCAGCTGAAGGCTTTTAACTACAGCTTGTGGACTTCCAGATAGTAAAGAATTACAATAGTCCAGCCTTGAAGTAACGAATGCATGGACTAGTTTCTCAGCATCAAACCTGTTGTTTCTAATTTTTGAAATATTGCGCAGATGAAAGAAGGAAACTCTAGAAACCTCTTTGATATAGGATTTAAATGACAGGTCCTGAGCAAATATAACACCAAGATTTTTTACTTTATTATCTGAAATCAGTTTAATCCCATCCAAATGAAGTGACTGACTAATCAGCTTCTTTTACAAAGACTCTAGTCTAAAGACTATAACTTCTGTTTTGTCTGCATTCATTAGCAGAAATGTACAGACACAGCTGAGTATCATCAGTATAACAGTGCTGATGATACTCAGCTTTTCTTATTCTTTTTAGCTTGGAATAAAACATGTGATTTGAATCATATATTAGGGACCGTCTGCAAGTTGCAACACCATAAAAAAATCAGAGAGAAAAATTCAAAAGCGTCACGAAGGAGAGGTGGATTATTATCACATTTATTGGAATCGAAAATAATACTTTTATGAGGAATTTCCCAAAGCCTATATGACAAATGGCATTTCTAATTTATTATCAGAATAAGTGTAAAATGAGCAATGACTACTTTAGATCATTGCAGTGCCACCAAACTTGTAGGACACATAGATAACCTCATCTGGATCATAATACAACTCTTACTTTGGGAAAATGTGCTAAACCCTATTTTTTTTGAGAGTTTTTCATTGTCATTATAGGCATATAATAGCCAATAATTACACTATAGATCATTGTATTGCCTCCAAACTTGTAGCACACATAGATAACCTAATCTAGTTCAGACTGTCGTGGATGTCCTCCGAACGACGTAGTAATTTGTACTAAGTCTTGCAAAAATTCTAATTTCTTGGTAAAGCAGTTGAAAAGTCACCAACAGTAGTCAAAAAGAAGCAGAGGCAGCTGGGTCTCGGTCCAGTATGGTTTATTGCAATAATACAAGTCCACCACACATGAGATGTTCACCGGTCAACATCTAAATGATACAAAGAAAGGGGTCTGCTTATATACTCTCTCTGGGTCTTGGGGGCTCCTCCCCGAGCCCCTCCTATTTTTACGTAATTTCAGGTACTTTTTCCACGATATCTATTATCTATTTACCTACAGGTGGAAATTTGCCCAGGGTGCATATTTTTTTAAAGTGGCTACACGTCATCGCCCATTCCGGACCTTTGGACCATGGTGATACACATTTTGTTTACATTGACTTCTTCAGTATAGCTTGACGTTCGGTTTCTCCACTGCCACGTTTTGTTTGCATTAACCCTCTTAATCTTATCTTGATCTCTGGACTGCCACACACATTATTTTCTTAGATATATGTTAAAGCACACCATTTAACCATTGTGACAAGAATATATTCATTAATCGACTACATTCTATTCATTGTGAGATATTAATCCACTACAAGACTACAACTCTTTCTTTGGGAAAATGTGCTAAACTCTATTATTTTTTTATTTATTTTTTTTTAGATTTTTTGCATTGTTATTATAAGCAGGCCAGGTGTGCACTGTACAAAGTATACCTGTCACAAATGCAGGAAGGACTCACCTTGGGTTTGTAAAAACTGCTAAATGGGACAATTGTAGCTTCATATTAAGTGCCTTTCTTTGGGTGAAATAAATGTTACTCCAATACTGAAATCATACTGTTTATCATTCTCTAAACTGAAATGTTGAGTGACATGAAAAGGTAAGACAATACAAAATACAATTATTTTCTAAGTTTCTTTCACATAGTGAGTCTGTTGGTGAATGGACAATATAAATAGACTCTGCCTTGCCTTGTTGGTAAAGCATGGTTATGACCTATTCTCAGCTCAGGAATTAGGACCCGTATGATATCTGTTGTTCAAAAGGATTGCCTAAATAAAAGATTTAGATATGACTTATCAAGATATTCCTGCAAAAAGGTCTGATGTTGCAGGGGCAGGTACTGAAAAGTGCTGGGAAAAAATGCTCTTGTTCTTTCAGCCTTTAAACAAAACGAACATCAACCTATATGGAAATCCGAGCGCCTGCAGTTCACAGATTCAGTCAACAGGAGGCGGTGTAGAAACTAAAGTTAGTTTTAGGACACGAGGAAGAGAGTAGTAGAATAAAGAGGAGGGGAGTTTATTTAGCACAGGAAAGAGATCAGAACCAAACCTTACCGAAGGTAAGAAACTGGAGTGTTTTTTTTGTTTTTTTTTGTATTTTAAAGAGTTATTTAACTTCATTGTCTTCTGTGTTTACTCATATCTGCATGTCATTGCGTTTACCGCTGGTTTAAAAAAAAAAAGGCAAGCAGGTTAACGATCGATTTTGGCAAACGGTCGGTTTGTCGAAAACTCTGAATTTTTCTGGTAACTTCAGGAACTCTCATGAACATAAAAACATAAGCCTTTAATTTAACTTCGCTTTGCTTCCGTTTGTGGACCCTGATAGCTGGTCAGTGAGAGTCTGGTCTTCAACCAGAGGGGGTTCAGACGCCAACATGGTATTAATACCATCCTTGGTATTCTGCTCTGACGTCAGGATGTTTAAGCACAACTAAAGTGATAAGGAGGAGAAGGCCTTCATCAGCTCCTCTCTGGGCTGATCTAAACATGGCAGCCCCCCAGCTGGATGATCTCCACATGCATGACCATTAAATTAAAGATGGAAAAGTTCAGTTTAAGCAGCTGGATGGGAATATTTCACCTGTACAGTTCAACCTCTGCACCTAAAAAAAAAAAAAAAAAATCACAGTGGGAAATAACTTTTTAAAAACACATATCTTTTGAAAATATGCTTGATTAAGATAATTTATGTTCCATGCTTTGTACAACATTCAGTATTTTATATTATTTACATACTCCAAAGATTAGGAAGGGTGTTTTTTTTTTTGAAGAGCATTAGGGGTTTATTGAATATTAATTCAAATCAGTTTATTTATATAGCACCAATTCACAACACATGCCATCTCAAGGCACTTTACAGAGACAATTCAATCAGATCATGAAGTCAGTTTGATTCAAAGCTTTCTATCGAAGGAAAACCAGCTGGTTGCATCTGGATTTGATGCTTGTAGTGACAGTGGAGAGGAAAACTCCCTCTTAAACACATGAAGATGAAATTTACACCCATGTAGCAAACTGCTGAAGCACTCCTTTATAAACCACAAAACATATGAAGATGAGGACATTAGCATGTGTATGCCAGTGTACATTTCACAAAATTTTCTATTTGTTAAGCTCTTTATAATAGGTTGTTCCCATACATCGTTTCATGCAAAGGGTTGCGTGCCATCATGTTGCTCCTAGCACCGGCTAGGGGGGTCAGGAGATTCTTATGCCTACTGCTAGTTCTAGGAAGTTTTATGCTCCCTGGTGATCTCCTACCTTACTGACAGCACTATGGTGACGTGGTACGCACTAAGGCTGAAATAATTAATCAGAATAATTTGGATTAATCAATTATTGAAAGAATGGTAAACAAATTGAGTAATCGATTAATCGTTAAATGGAGCAAAGAGACTGTAAAGTATGCTTTTAGCTGACAGAACGCCCCACTTACAGCAACAATTATTCTAAAAATATATATTTAAAAAATTGTCTATCCAGAACCCTTCAAGTGGAAAAGCTTCAGCTTAACCTGGTTTAATTTGTAAAAACAATCTTCTTTAATTAACCTTTGATTATCCAATTATTAATCGAAAAAATAGATTAATCGATTCGCAAAATATTCGTTAGTTGCAGCCCTAGTATGACCTATGTCCACGGCTTAAGTGTTCCCAGCAATTTGACATATTCAGATCGAGCCTCCAACGCTGTCCTGCAGCCTTTAGATATGTCCCCTGCCCTGCATACCTGAATCAAATTGCCAAACAATTTCTTTACAAGGTAATTTCTAAAGAGCTCTTCTAATGAGTTCATATTGAGGTCAGGTGTGTTGAAGCGGAAGTTAATCTAAAGTTGCAGGACTGGAGGCTGAGACCAAGGGTTTAGAAGACCTGGAAATTACATTGCTGTTGCAGATTGGCCATTTTGGAATCCTTCCACACCTGGGCACCTCACCTACTCTGACCAGATGTTCCCACATGTGCGGGACAGTCCCGCATTTTTCACTTTTATGTTATTCCTGATCAGAATTTTGCAGAAATTTATATTTCATTCATTCCTTCATCTCTGAGTCATACTGATGGGTTCTACTGCCTTTCCAGCAGTCTGTCCCTGACCTGTGAAAACAAGCAGATGGAGAATATCTGCTCAGGAAGGCTATTTTCTGGAAGCAACTACCTTGGCCATGCTGCAGCTGTTCTATAAAGAACACCCCATTTCTCACATTAGGGAGGGTTGTTGTGAGGAAAAACTTGATGATTAAAAAATTCAAAGTGGAGCCGCCTCTCAGTGTTTGCTCCAGTTTGAATTTTTCTTTAGAGTTGGCAGAGAACGACTATATTTCAACAAATGTATACAGCATAGTGCTAAAGTTGCTATTTCATGATAGATTGATCTATACTTCAATTTAAAAGGCTTAAAAATACATGATATAGGACCTTTAAACTGTGGGGCTGAGGCTAAGTCTTTTAAAGAACTGTTTCAGAAGTTTAATCTTACTCCGACTCATTAGTTCCCATCAGTTTGATGTTTCCTTGGGTAACATTGTCCATTAGGAAGAACTGACAGAATCTGTCTAATTTTCAACCATCTGAGCCAAAATATTGCCTTCAGAGGGAAAGAAAATCGATTCAGATGTTTTCAAACTACCATGGAACTAGAGACTGACATTTTTTCGGGAATCCCGTGGGATGGGAGTCAGTATTAGTAAAGACCACGTGATTGGGACGGTACAGGATTAAACATTAACGGGAGCAGACGGAAGCGGGAGAAAACCAATAATAACAACAAAAAAAAAAAACTAGGATCGATGCCAAAAAAAAAATAAAATAGAAAAAAAAAAAATCCAGCACTGGTGCGGCGCCGCCATTTTGTAGTTTTTTTCCTTGAAGCCTACACTATAATGCGAGTCAAAAAAACTACACGACCCAAAAACCAACAGTGCTTCCGCTCTGAGTTTTTCACCCGCGCTCAAAAAAAAAAAAAAACAAGAACGGGAGCGGTGCAGGAGCGGGAGTCATTCTGAATGGGAGCGGGGTGGGGGGAATTTCACCAGGAGTGGGACGGGACAGGATTTAGATTTCTACTCTGGCCCGGGATCGGGACGGGACACAATCTTTTTTCTGTGGGAGTGGGACAGGACAGGAGTGAAAATCCACTCCCGTGTCAGTCTCTACATGGAACCACAAAGGAAGGAGCTGGTGAAGATGCTTAGTCTTCCAGCTCATAGTCATTCCAAAAAGGTAAAAAAAATAAAAAATAAACAATCCACTGGACTTTGTTTCCAAGTTTGAAGACGTTTTACTTCCCATCCAGGAAGCTTGCAGATTGTTGCAAGCTAAAAAATAACCCAAACGACTGCCCACTCTTAAAGAGCAGACCTGTTGGTCAGGTTAAATTAGCATGTTTCCCAAGCCAAAACAAGGCTTTGTTTTTGTCCACTCTATAAAGCCCTAAACTCAATGCAAATTCTGACATTTTGAATTGAAAAACTTTCCTGAATGGGAAGCGAAACATCTTGAAACAAAGTCCAGTGCATTTTTTTTGGAATCACCAAGGATGGAGCCTTCTATGAACGATAAACTACGAGAACGCCGTTGTCTAAGTGCAGCTGGTTATTCATCACCATGGACCAAGAGGGCGAGGATCATGAGAGAAGACCGTGCTTGAAAAGGGGAGTCTTAAAATGGGACAGAACTTTACATCTGCCCACAGGAAAGAGTGAAATGGCTTCAAGAGGAAGTTTTATGTACCAAGGACACAAAATTGGCAAAAATGGCATAAAGTAGATCAGGAATTGGCAACTGCAACCTCAAGGTTTGGTGTTCTGAAATGTTTAGATATGTCCCTGCTCCAACACAACTGAATAAAGTGAATAGATGAAGAACCTACTCACTGAGGATGTAATTCAACCATTTGACCCAGATGTGCTGGACCAAACACGCATCTTAGGCCATGTTCACACCACAGCCTGAACTGACCCAAAGCAGTTTTTATTTTTTTCTTTATTTTTTTTTTTCTTTTGCCCACATGCGACCTGAATCCGATCTTTTCATGGCAGTCTGAACAACACAGATCCGATTTTTAAATATTTTTTTCCAATCTGACTCAGGGCCCTTGGCTATGTGGTCCTGAATTCCATACGAATCTGATCTTTTCAAATGTGTCTGAACGGCCAGGTCGCATTCATCCGACCTGAACGCCATTAGTAACCGACATAGGTCACTATTCTATGTCTTGTTACACATAAGCGGCAAGAAAAACAAACACCATTTTTTTAACCATCTTGAAAAGATTGAGGTTTTAAGGTTTGGAAAGATCGCTAGATGCGCTCCAGCACTACGTCCATGTTTACTTCCATAAACACGAAGTGCGCTGGCTTGTGACGTCATTGCGTCCTCTACTGCGCATATGCGACACATAAGCTGTATAAATACAGTTTACACAGGGAGATCACATACAAGTCTCATATATTTGGAAATGTATATGGCAACACAAAAAAAATCAGATTTCCCCCCAAAAAATCGGAATTGAGCATCAAGGCCTGCAGTGTGAACGTAGCCTTGATGTTGGATACCGGCCCTCGAGGACAGCTGTTGCCGCTCCCTGAAGCAGATGTTTTTCAAGCTAAGAACACTGTTCCAACTCTCGAGACCAATAGCCAGTTTTTTAAACAGAGTTGATAGAAGAGGCAGGAAAAAAGACCTACAAATTCTTCATTTCCCCACTAAAGGCTAGATGTTTAAAATGGGCCCAAGTCTACAACCGGGTAGCTTTAAGTTTCTGGATTGGTTCTCCAAAGGTCAAACCTCAGTTATGTGTAAATATCATGGACTATGTTTTAAAGCCTGGCCTATTTCCAAAACATTTTTGTAAATGGTTAAAAGAAGAATGTTCACCATGATGACAGAAGGTTATTAATGGCTACAAAACTCACATAAGCCCCATTTACACTACCCTTGAAAAACCGATCCAGGCCGAGACCGGTCCGAGCTTGGATCGGTAACCAGGCCAAGCTCAGTTTTGACGACCGTTCACACGTCACACTTATCTCGGTTATCTCGACTCCTTGACTCCT